TTATTCCTTCATGAACAGTTCCAATACGCCTTACTATTCGACATAAACTAGCTATAATCAACTAAACAAGGATTTTCAAGGTTATAGATGTAGAGGCCTGAGTATTGGCCACTTTAAGAACCTTGGAACGCATAGCCAATTTAGGTGATATTGGCACACGTGACCTCGCGTTTCCCGTCAACTTAGGACCTATATCGACTTCAACTGCAACAAAGAGCATTATGGAGCTTCGACATGTCGGGCTCCTTATCGATACCTCTGAAAAAATCATCGTTAAAACGGCAACGAACTCATGCCAGCGATTGCGGCTTCGAGTCCAATGTGCCTTCACCCTTGAACGCGTCGCCCCAAGACTCTGCTCCCTCGGCCACGGCCGATCCTCCCCCCAATGAACCAAATGTGCACATAGGCGGGTCTACCAGAACTACGGCCGCCAAAAAAACGGGCAAAGGGAAGAAATTTCCCTCGAAGCGGCTGAAGCCCGCGAAACGAACCCCATCTGCGCCATTGCCAGATGCTTTCAAGCGTCTCTCGCAAACCCATCGCGCCTTGAATCTCGTCTATACATTTTGCTGCACGCGAAAACACTTTGCCACCACATTTGAAAACATTAAAAAGGCAGTACAGGCCCAACTTGGTCAAGGACGAGAACTCACTGTTGAGGATGTCGCACGTGTGAAAGTCATAATACCCGGGGCGGTCCGCTTCGAATATGTGGACGAAGCCAAGTTGGAAGTAATGACTGTTGGCGATGAAGAGATAACTCAGTATGGGTTGCACAAGCGATCCAGTCTCGCATTTACGGCAGACATGGACATGGCCGAAGACGCCAGAAGTGGCGATCTAGACGACACAAAGCAAGCTCTGCTGTTTGAGTTTATAGACGGCGATCTGAAACGGGAAGTCCTGAACCCGAAGACTGGGGAACCTATGAAATCTATACGTCGCATGAAAGATGAGGACATGAAAATGCCCGTCTACAGCCAAAAGCAGATGCTGGGTTTGATTGAAAAACGAAATGCCAAGTTCTCAGACGCTTTGAATGATTTTTTGGTTCAATGCGAAGACAAAAATACTGATCCAGTGGATGCTCTTGAACAGGAGAAGAATGATTTTCTGCCCACCCCTCCAAGCAGTGGGACAAATACCGTTCTTGCGGTGAAGCTGCCAACGACGATCCCCAAGGAGCGAAAGTCTATTGATGAAATAATTGCAGAGATTCGGGAGATGGATTGGTATCATGCGCAGATTGTGCCAGAAGGCCATCGAGTATTCGAAGCCCAGTCTCCTGTTTACGGAGATTTGACATTCCCACTCTCGCAGGACCTTGTCAATGCTCTGTATAACACAAAAGGAATCACCCAAATGTATGCTCATCAAACAGAGGCAATTAACCACCTATACGACGGTCATAATGTGATTGTGTCGACGTCGACGAGCTCGGGAAAATCCCTCATCTATCAAGTCCCCATGCTGCATGAGCTCGAAAAGGATCCGGAGAGCAGGGGGATGTATATCTTCCCCACTAAGGCTCTGGCACAAGATCAGCGCCGCAGCATGATGGATCTGCTTCAGTATATGAACGGGCTGCAACACACAATGGTAGAAACCTTTGATGGGGACACGCCAATGGGGAGCCGGAACGTGATTCGTGATGAGGCGCGGATCATTTTCACCAATCCCGACATGCTTCATGTCACCATTCTACCGCAGGAGAGTACCTGGCGTACCTTTTTGAAGAATCTGAAGTTCGTTGTTGTCGACGAACTGCACGTCTACAACGGCCTATTTGGGTCTCACGTCGCTTTTATCATGCGCCGTCTTCGCAGGATCTGTGCTGCGGTGGGCAATCGTCATGTTAAATTCATATCTTGCTCTGCTACTGTAGCAAACCCAGAGGATCACATGAAGTCTGTCTTCGGGGTGCAGGATGTGAAACTCGTCGATTTCGATGGATCTCCCTCTGGTCGCAAGGAGTTTGTTTGCTGGAACACGCCATTCAAAGATCCTAAAGATCCTCGCTCTGGGCGCGCTGACATTGTCACTGAAACTGCGAGGTTGTTTTGCCAGCTCATCCTTAAAGGCGTGAGAGTCATTGCTTTCTGCCGAATCAGAAAGCTCTGTGAGATTCTATTACAAGGCGTGCGCGCCGAGTTTGAAAGACTCGGGCGAACCGAAATCGGCAACCTAGTGATGGGTTATCGAGGCGGGTATAGCCCTCAAGATCGACGCCAAATCGAAAAGGAAATGTTCGAGGGAAAGTTGATGGGAATCGTGGCTACCAATGCTCTGGAACTGGGCGTTGATATTGGATCCCTGGATGCAGTAATCACTATGGGATTCCCATACTCGATCTCCAATCTACGCCAACAAAGCGGTCGCGCTGGACGACGTAACAAGGACTCTCTTTCCGTCCTGGTCGGGGACAGATACCCAACTGACCAACACTACATGCAGAATCCCAACGAGATATTCACACGGCCAAATTGCGAGCTGCAGATCGATCTATCCAATGAGCTCATCCTCGAAGGCCACGTCCAATGTGCGGCATTCGAGATGCCTATCCGCCCCGAAGAAGACAGCATCTACTTCGGGCAACAGCTACTTGCCCTGGCTCCAACCCGCCTCACCAAAGATCCACTTGGCTTCTACCACTGCCACCCACGCTTCCGCCCGCAGCCCTCCCGCAGCGTCTCAATCCGCGACACGGAAGAACAACACTTCGCCGTGATAGACACAACCAACAACCGCAACATAGTTCTCGAAGAAATCGAGGTCTCGCGCGCCTTGTTCACAATCTACGAAGGCGGGATTTTCCTCCACCAAGGCACAACATACCTCGTCAAAGAACTCAACACGGAATCCTTCCTAGCGCGCGTCGTCCGCGTGCACGTCGACTGGAACACCATGCAACGCGACTTCACTGACATCGACCCCATCGAAACCGAGGCAATGCGACTAGTCAGCAACGACCCTTCCGCCTCACGCGCCTTCTTCGGCGCAATTCAAATACACGCCGTAGTCTACGGCTTTTTCAAAATCGACAAACGCGGCCGCGTCCTCGACGCCGTCGCCGTCGATAACCCGCCAATCGACCGGCTTGCCAGGGGTATGTGGCTCGATGTCCCAACGCGCGCTATCGACATCCTGCAATCGCACCGTCTCAACGTAGCTGCGGCAATCCACGCCGCTGAACATGCTGTTCTATCTCTCCTGCCCTCCTTCGTCGTCTCATCACCCGGTGACGTCCGCACAGAATGCAAAGTCGCGAAAAAAGAGCTTGGCCGACCGCTGCGTCGCGCGAACGTACCCAGTGAATTTGAGGAGAAACTTAAACCGCCTTCACGGCAGAGACCTGCTCGGCTTACCTTCTACGATGCAAAGGGCGGACCGTGTGGTTCCGGTATTGCCAGCAAGGCATTTGAGTTTATTGGGTTGCTTCTTCGGCGGGCGGTTGCACGCATCGAGTCTTGTTCTTGTCGTTCGCCACAGGGCTGCGTGGAGTGTGTTTGTGATGAAAGATGTAAGGACATGAACGTTGTTATGAGCAAGGCTGGTGCAGGGGCTATACTACGTTGTCTGCTGGGGTGGGAGGTTGATGTTGATGCTTTACCGTGGGGGGAGGATGTGGAGGGGGATGATCTTGGAGTTGGAGGTGCTGGGGAGCTGGCTGGTGGGGTAGAGACTGTTGTGAAGGCCGAGGAGGTGCCGTGGAAAGCTGGATGTCGGATTGGTCGTTGATAGGTACTACATCTATACTACTACTGTATGGATGGGTAGCTACTAAGTCGTGCCCATTCATGAATTTTGCTGTCCAAGTGTAACCCGGTGCACCTGTGGGACGTTGGGTCTCCATGTCTTAAGGGAAGCAGACCGCCTGTATGTGTACAACTAATATCCGCTGACTAGGCCCAAATGTTCTATAGACATAGACTCAATACAGGAGAATATAGGGGTTGAGCCTTGTTCTCTGGCTGCTAGGGAGCAAAGAGAAGAGAATAAGAGTTCATTCTTGACTCTGAGATAGGAAACAACTACCTAAATAGTTGGTTAGCTAGGAGGGGCCTGGCCAACTAGGCACCTAGGCCCGTGACCGTATCAGAACATTGCTTCGCCAAAAAAAAGAGGGTTTATACATAGAGAGGATGAAAAAGAAGTGTGCAACACAAAGAGGGTAGACAAAATTCCATTTCTGGTTTGAGGTAAATAAAAAGCCATCGCCCGGATTAACCGGCGATCAGAACAGCATGCCGGTTCCGGGACGAACGGAAGGCAGACAAACACCAAGGAAAGTGGTTTGAGAGATCATGGAGACACTGCAGACTATCAAACTGCTAGACCAAAGTGTCCACCGCACTTTGGAGTTCCGAGGCAGGCAGCGATCTATAACACCCTTAAAGCCTCATCATGCCAGTGCGGAGTCTGTCAAACCTTGGAAGACCTTTTAAATGAGTGATTCGGGGCTTGATGTTCCACCCATGTAAGAAAAGAAAACCTGCCCTTAGGGAATGTGGACGTATAGATAAGGTATCATGAACGGGATCAGTTAATGATCCCAAAGGAAGTTGGGTATAATTGTTGTACATCAGGTCATGACGGAGAAAGACGTTTTCGGGTTTCAGGAGAAAGGGAAGATAATGGTATGACAAGGTAGAAAGGGCAAAGAAGGATGCGTATATGCTAGTGATGGGGAGCGCTCAAATAAGACATCGTTATACTTATGACCATTCAAGAGAAGGCGAAAAGAAGCCGCGAGAAGATGGAAAGAGCAGAGCAAAGGGTGAAGGCATCATTCGATGTCCAGTAGAAAGGTCTTCAGTCGAACGTGATATTAATGTCGTCCAGTCGCAGGATGTAAGTGAAAGTGGCTGCCTGAGTGTTGGCGGGGTCGGGAGTGAGATGCTAAGAATGAAGCGGAGGCCTTACTTAAAAGACCATGGAAACTCGAGGATTGGATGGTGATACAAAGATAACTCCCCCTGCCCATTCACTGCAGTCCACTATAGAAATGGAGGGTTCTTGTCGTCGTTTTCATCCAGATTCAAGCTCCCGAACATAGATTTCATATCACGAACAGTCTCGTGCTTCTCATCGCGTACCTGCGATGAGCGGTCATCGGACAAGGAGCGAATTTCGCGGATAATGCTTGTATACCCTTCGTCATTAGGGAGCCACCAATGGTTAACCTCTGGGACTTGCCAGATGGTAGCAAGCCCAGTGCGGAAACTAGGGGCGATGATGTACCTATTCGCACAGTAGCTCCAGGTTAGCTTTGCTCTTGATCAAATAAACCTGAAACGCAGATCCGCCGGTAGAAACTTACCCATGTTGCTCTAACAACGCCAATGTGCGGCGGGCCCACATTTGATACTTATGCTCCCTAGGAAGAAACATGCCCAACATGCCAAGGCTGTTTTTAAAATTGATGCAATATCCGTTTTCTTTGTGAGGCCACCGTATCATTGTCTCAATCAGGCGACACTGCTCCTTGGCCAAGTCTTGCAAATTTTGGAGCAAAGGCTGCTGCAGGACTTGCATGGTTTGGAACTTGTACATTGTCTCGGTGGCGAGAATGTCGATCCAAGCGTAATTGATATCCCACAAGGGTCCTCGATGCAAGATTCCTGGTACGTATGGATCGACAACATCATCTTCGGTCAAGGGCTGCTTTTGTGGGTAGTACTGGACTTTGTATTCGTAATCATCAAATGTCCTGAGAATCGTCTTGGCCTGCTCAAGCCATTGGCCCAGATGTTCGTTCTGAATGGCGAATTGTTCCATTGATATCATGCCGCGAGATAACTTTGCATAAAGAGAAGCCATATCCAAGCCAAAGCGTCGGTTGATTGATGCTACCAGGGCGAGTTGTTTGGATGGATCATCCGGATAGATAGCGGCTTGCTCAGCATCATAATGCTCCTTTGCAAGATACCAGTGTCGACCGAGGACTGTTTCAGTGCCGGCCAAAATCCCCACGACCACATCGAAGCGCGAGTACCATAAGAAGATGTTGGTATGTAGCTCGTTCACGTTGGCGGATTCGGGTGTGATTAGCTCTAGCACAAATGTGTGTGCCGCCTGGTGGTGATCGATCAAGTTCATCCAGTCGCCTATGTATTCCTATAAATGCACCAAAAGTTAAAAAAAAATAAGAGTCGGTACAGTGGTCATGGGAGGGTAGGAGCAACATACCTCAAATGTTGTCAGGACAAGGACAGTGCACAATGTAGCCTCACTGTGCTCCTCTCCAGAACCCAAAGATTTCCGGAGAAGAACCAAGGTTTTGTTGTAGTATTTCAAAAATGTATAGAGCTTCCCCTCGGGGCTGTGTAAACAATGATGGTAGGCCGAAAAGCCCACCAGCGCATAAAGGAGAGGCTCATACTGCAAGGCAAGTTCGATAAGGCTGTGGTGGAGGAAATTGGAGGAATGCTGTCTCAAGAAGAAATATGGAGGAGTTATAAAATCATGGTGGAAATTTAAATAAAATCGTACATCGTCCGGTAGGCGCGCATTGTTGAGCAATTCTGCTGTGGAATGTCCCAGGCTGCCCGAGCGCACGCTCAACGACTCGAGGCGCGGCGATTCAGTGGACGGCGAACTACTCTGTTCTTTCATGTAAGCACTAGCGTCAGACGTGGCTCTGGCATTGTGCTTCCGAAGAAATTGTACGCTTTGACTATTACGCGAGTCCGGTTGTGATGTAGCAGTCGTGCTTGCTGGCGACGATCGGGATTCGGATACGGCGCTGTCGGGCTCCTCTTCATCGATGATGGGCTGCAATGGGCTCAGAATCCCAGGGCCTACCTTCGCAGATGAGTCGCTGCCACGAGACTGCGGGCGACTAGTGCGCGACTTAGCTGTAGTGTGTGAGCTAGCCTTGGAGGATGCGGTGGGTGACGGGTAGACACAATCGCGGCCCCCTTTTCTACACCGTTCACAGAGTGGATGGTTCTCATCACACTTGATCCGGCGCGAACGGCAGGTAAAGCAGCCACTCCGGGTGCGCTTATGCTTTTTCTGATCCGGGGGAGGCTGGAATAGAGCTTGTTTTGGGGGCCCTTTGATCGTCTGTGCTGCGGAGGGATCGTGCCAGAATGCAACACTTTCGGGATACCTTTTCGGCCCAAAAAACGAATACGACGATGAGCTCGAATCCTGTCTGATCGAGTTCAGAAGGCCCGACATGGCCGTCTGGGGTGATTGATGTGATTGCGTCATTGCCACGATGTGGCAAAACCCATCCAAAGTCCCGTCAATTCCCTTGATTCCCTTCTTGGTATCTTTAACTCCATCCAACGACTGAACAATATTGAGTCGTCATCATAAGTATCAAAGAGATTTCAAAGAGGAGAGGTGAGGTCGGTGGAGGTTGAATGTACAAAATGACCCAAACTATTGGAAATAGGTACGTGCCGAGATCAAAAGGAAGGAGAAAATAGATGATTTGGCTATAAAGACGACCACTTCGGACGAGTTCAATAGCGTCCAGCCTTCAAATAGAAGCTAAAGTGTGATCTGCGTCCTGTATCCAATACTATGTGTAAGTACAACGCTATTTGGACTTCGACAGAGAGTAGGATCTGAAACATATGGAACAGCTCCAATCGGTTAAATTCAACATCTCTTTGGACATGTCGGTCTTGTAGTAGGTATTGCCCTTTTAGGCTATACACAGAATACCATATTTTTTTTTCCCCTTTCACTATTCTAATGATTCTAATTCCCCTGGACCTAGGCATCCCAAATGACATTTCCTTCTAAGTATAACCTATATTGGACGGACCACTCCATACTCCATACTTTGTCCATCATTACTACTGTAGCTCCCTCTTCAACGAAGGTCAGGAACTGAACTTCCTACTGAAAACCTCACGAAATAGGTTGCGATGTATCAAAAAATTGACAAAGAAAGCAAAGAAAAAGCAAAGAAAAAGCAAAGAAAAGAAAAAGAAAAAGAAAAAGGGGGGAGATGATGACAACGATCCCAAGCCACAGGGATAAATTCAAGTAATTGTTCTGGTCTTAGGGCTTGGCCATCCTCTGCAGAGACGCATGTTAGCGTCTATCAGTCCCGGTTCCCCGGGCCATTTTCGGTTTATACTTCTCAAAATGAGCTAGTGATACTGGTAGATTTTGGGGGGGGGGGGTTGGAATTTATTCTTTAAAGTGGTTCCAGTCAAAGTACTCCGTAACATCATCACAAAATGCAGCTGTAAAATGTTGCCCCCTTGCCGGCCCCTTTCTGAGTTCCCAATGCGAGGGGCTGAGATATGTCCGGTGGTTTTCGATCAGCACTGCGCCTGATCGACGATGGGTTGACAGAGAAGGTGGGCCTGATAGATCGAAAATAAAACACTACCGCTCTTCGAAGCCCTGGACCAAGTTGCAATATGTAGAACAGCTAAATTCAGTTGGAAGCTCCGTCGTCCCAGGAGAAGATGATCCCTAGTTGGGCTTACCAGAATAGTTTAAAAGGGGGGTGGGAATTCGCTAGAAATTCACATTGTAGATTAAAATCCCATCAAATGACCCAAAAAGGATACCCTGATGATCCCGAAGCATCTTTCAAGGTTCCAAAGCTCTGGCCATATTTATCTCATACTACATGTCCCGACCGTGCACGAGCATTTCGTCTCTTCATGTGGGTGAGATATATAATCCGAGCCAAGACAACGCTAGTGGACCAGCTCCATGACAAGACCCATGTGAGTACAACTGACAGCCCTGGGGCAGAATTTCTTTTTTGGCCTTTTCTTTCGGCTTTGGTTTTACACGTCCATCTGCCATGTATGAAGCATTGTACATCATGCATCAAGCTGGTTCAAGTGAAATCCCTGCGAAATCCCTGCGAAATCGGTGTGGATCGGCCATAGATCCTGGCAGAAGTTCATGCACCCACCAGCCCACTTGCCACTGTATCTCATGTGGTCCATTTTTGAAAGCTACGGAGTACTCCGTACAAGGTTCCAAGGTCACTGCCTGTCAGTGAGATAAGCAGGCAACAAAGGGCAGTTCTCTAGTGGACTCGGTAGAAATCAGATTTGTGATTTGCAAGATGCGTGCGCTGAACATGAAACTGGAGTATACACAATCAACCTTTTTCTCCGTTTTCTCACCCCATTGGTCGTTTTGGTCGAATTGAAATGTACAATCGGTTTTATATAGTGCGCCACGAACAAAAGTTTCTTTCTTCTGGTGGGAACGTGCAAAGAGAGGTATCGACCGGGAGCTTTCTAGCTCTCTATTGGCTATCATGGCGGGCTAAAAAGTACGAAGGACTCACATTGCATTGCATTACATTGCATTGCATTTTGTAATTTTCGTTTTTTTTTTTAGAATCCTGGATTTGGAGTGTACACTAACTTGATTGGAGATAAAGTGGCTGGAATCAGGACGTATCCAGATCAAAAGTCCTATGGCATTTTCGGCAATCGGGGCACAAACCCCCGAAAGTTAGTGTAAAAGAGCATCAAGGGAAGCAATGAGTATTATCTTACTTTGGAATGGTGCTGCATGTTTGTATAAGGTATACACTATGCAAAGAGGGCGCAGCTATCATGGTCTATAAAACGCAAGAACTAAGCAAAGAATCGCCGTTAGACCTTTCAAACTTGAACAGGAAAGCGCACAGTTCGTGCCCAAAGTGGACATGCTAGTCACCCGATCTCTCATGGAGTTAACGACTGTGAATTCGGGGGCCAAAAGCAACCCACATAGTCCACTATCAAGCCTAATGTCCGAAGGGGAATGGAGCAATCAGAGAACCAAGACGTTGGGAATTTGCTTTAATCTATCACGTTGGCGCCACGATCACAGGTCCAAAGGCTAGCTTTTGCAACGCTTCCGTTGGTCCACTTTCTCATTTTGGTGGCATTGCATGGACCTAACTTTCCTCTTTAACTATGATTCCCCCCCCCCACCTTCTGAAGCTCTAGATTCCTACATGGACAGCGGTTTTTGACCCGTCCTACATTGCAAATATGGGGAGGTTCGTGCATGTACGGGTATATAAAAGCATATATGTCGCGTGCCCCCGAATGAGTGCTAGAGAAGCGCAGGGGGAAGATACAGTCAGACTGTGGTGTCCACACTGGAGGGCTAAGATGCAGCCAACTCCGCCATGCAGGCCTGCCAGAATCCGACCGGTTAAAGGGTTGAAATTTCGCATCCCTGTTGATTATCAAGGAGATTTACTTGCTGGCCCAATTAGTTTAGGATACTCCATGGCTCAGTTTCACAATCAAAAAACCACAAAACCGATTTGATTGCCCACATGGGTACAAAGTATGTCTGTCTATATGTGGGACCGGTGGTTTCGGCAGGTTCTTGGCTTCGTGGCGGAAATCTTGGTCTGGTCGGCTCTGACCTTCAAATTGGTATGCAACATTGATCACTTGCGTCTTTTGTTTTTCAGCAATCATACAAGATATACGGAATAGATAGTCATAAATCGTCAACAGCCCCAATGATGGCATCATTCGGGATAGGTAGTCCTGGGTCGATCTGTGTTCAAACTAAACGCAGATCGATAATCGCGGCATCCCTTCATCCACTTTGCGGAGTAATGTCATCCAAGACAAAGGAATATTTATGCACTTGAGGCTTTTTGTTTCTGGGCAATCAACTCGTTCACCACTTTATCCACTCCTTCAACAACAATTCCCCACTCGGTCTCATGGACTCGAGTTTCAAAGGTCTCGAGGTTCTCATCCTGGCCCTTCCGGAACGGGATCTCCCGGACCAGAATTGGTGTCCCCATGTCCACTTCAGAAATGACATCGTGCATCATAACACCAGTCTTGTCAATCTGACCCGCCAGCCACGCAGCATGAGCACGACCAATCGCATTCTAATGAACAGAAAAAGGAAGGAATCAGCAAATCGCCACAGCTAACAAGGTCCAATCCCCCCCAAAAAAGCTCTGTTACTTACAACGCCATTAAACGCCCCTGGCAGCGCGGGGTGCAAGTTAATGATTCTCGTCTTAGCAGCTTCCAGAGGCTCCAAGAACTGCGGTGAGAGAATGTGCATGAAGCCGAGACAAACGACAAGTTCCGGCGCGTCGGCAAGGATCAGCCTCGCGAGCTCAGCATCGTATTCCTCGCGCGCAAGCTGAACGCCTTCCGGTGTCGCGGGGTGCTGTTTCTTGTACTTGACGAGGTTGTGGTATTCGGTTGGGATGTTAGCCTTGCTTGCGCGCTCGAGGCCGAATGCAGTCTTGCGGTTGGAGATAACGCGGACGATTGTTGCATTTATTTGACCCGCAGCCACTTTATCAATCACGGCTTGCAGGTTTGAGCCATTGCCGGATATAAGGACTGTGATGCGAGTTGGGGAGCCCATAGTGGATTGTAGGTGTCTTTGGTGGGGGGATGGTGGGGGTTTTCGTGAATTTGTAGACTTCGGAGGTTGAAAGGGTAAAAGTGCACGGTTGAACCCTTTTTCGGTTATGGTGAGGTGAATTGAGTACTGCTGACAAGAGAGAAAATGTAGATGCTACTCTCAAAGCCTTGGAGAATGACAGAAATAGCACAAGATCGCTGTCGCAAGCCAGTCCGCGGGGAATGGAGTTCGGCGATTTTTTTTGGATTACCTAATTCAGCCGCGGGGCAACAGGCCCCGACTATAGATGAGATACTACTTCTACGAGGTATGTATACGGGGGAATATCAACGGGAATCAATATAAAAGCAAAAGCATCCAAGGCTGATTACATATTGAATTGGTGTTTGAACATATAGTTCATTATGTGAAGCGATTTCTGGCCGAATAGGGCCACGAGCATGGCCAGCCAGGGTCTACGATAACACACCGGACAAACCAAGACCAAGAATTGATGGACGCGAAGACAAAAATTCTCGGGGCAGTGAGTCTGAGTTATCATCCAGGAGGAGAGGTCCTTGTTTCTGGGGACCGAGAGCAAATATTCGACAAACCCAACATGATAAAAGCACCTAAAGTCGATGCACAGAGATGGGATGCAAAGGGGATATCCGTGGGGTAAAAACAGTCGTTAAAGATTCTAAGCACACGCTGCATGCTAAAGCTAAAAGGAGAGAAGAGTTCAAAAGTTAAAATTGGAAGTTGCTCACATGGCTGGTTTGACCATGCTTGCTAGGAGGAGAGATCAAACGGCAGTGCCATCTGGGGCAGAACCAGGATTGGGTGCCGGGTTGTCGGCGTTGGAGTCGTTGCTGGGGGTTTCGTTGACACCTTGGCCTCGGCATAGAGGACAAGAGTTTCTCCCAGTGGTTAACCACTACGACATACGGTTAGCAATCAAACAAATTGAAATGAACAGGATGTAACAAACCTGGTCTATGCAGTCTTTATGGAAGACATGTTTGCATTTACCCAGTTCTCGAACTTCCTCGGCCACCTCATAATCACTCAAGCAGATCAGGCAGCGCTCTCCGTCTTGGATGTGAATGGTGCCAGCGCCTTCCACGGCTTCAGCCACCAGTGAGCCTGCATACTCAACAAGACGGAAGACTCCGCCGGCGGAGTTGACGTCGGTCTGAGAGGCGACAGGAGGTTTGGCTGGACCCAACAGTGATGAAAGCAGGATCATATCCTCATAAGTCGGGTTCTGTTGAAGAAGGATTAGCAACCGGGTTCCCGATAATGCCGAGTAGGGGGTATTCTTACATCCGTGAAAAGGCTTGGTGTTGTCAAAGCCGGGTGATTCTCAGAGAGGTTGGTTCCAACAACATAGATTAACCAACTGCGACCTGCACTTGGTGGGGGTGGATCAGGCTCAACCATGCCATTGCGTCGAACAGCACCAGAGCCGAGGGCTCGATGACGAGCATACTCAGAATCGCTTCGGCGTCGCTGACGAGCAGTGTTGAATGTTACAGGCTCTTCCAGAGTCTCCGCCGTCGGTTGCATTGCCTGGCCTTCATGGAGGTGGGGTAGAGTATCTGGAGCAATTGCTGAAGAAGAGGACGGTCTACGGATAGGGGTGGAATCGCCGGAAGAAAACGCGGACACTCCCTGTTCAGATGGAGTTGATGGAGGCGGGTGCAATCCCGGGGGGCTTTCAGACAAACCAGAAGAATGGTAGGACGGGAATGCCGCACGGGGCCCGGTATCAGACATGCGTCTAAAGTGATTAGGAACTGATGGGCGTGGAAATTCTGTAGCTCCGGCAGGGGCGTGTAGTCCTGCATGGCCTGATTGCCGAGGAAGATGAAATCTGGATCGCATATCACCCCGGTGAGGCGATTCACCAGTGGCATCTTGGGGCCGTGGTATAGTGTTTGGTGGCAAAAACGGTAGGCCGAGTAGAGCGTCTAGACCGGGGCCCGGACTTGCAGGCTGTTGCTGTTCAGTATAAGCTCCATTTCCAGCCGGGACGGACCGAACTCCAACAACAACCAGAGTAACTGTTCGTCCTTCGCCTTCAGCAGGCTCATCAACATCCATTCCATCAGTTTCGGTCCCACGGTCGCCGACACCATTTGCGCTCTGCCCTGAAGCGCCCGGGACAGTGGGTGGTCCTGAATTGGCAAAACGGAACACACGCAAGAAATTGACAGGATGTGAGGGTGCTTCATTTCCAGTATTGTTCGGCCCCTCTCCTGTGGCAGGCGGTTGAGCCTGTGTAGAAGTCGCGTGCTGCAAACTCTGTATGAAATTCTCCAAAGAACCATCCAACCCATCGTTGCCCAATGCCTGTATATTAGGCAACGCAGGACCGGTAGTGCCAGATAACTGAGCTGCAATTGCAGATGCGGCAAGCTGAAGAACCCTTGACAAAGGGGTTTGCTCCTCTCGTCGCAATACTCTGGATGATCTCGCCCGAATAATACCGGGCAATCGGCGCATCAACGCAGGACTCGGCTGGGAGGGAGATGAATCAGTTGCGGGCCTCTCAGCCTGGATGGCTGGTTCTACCGAATCAAGCTCATGAGGCGGTTCGCCAAAGTCCCTTCGCGTGTCCATGGCCCTATCATCAAACAAGGAATCTGACATTTGATATTCTGGGCTTTCATCAGGCCGCAATTCTGAGTGTTGTTGGCCGAACATGTGAGAAATGGGAGATGAAATTGAGTGGCGCATGCGTTGTAGCCTAACACTGCGACGCCAGGATGCTCTTGTGGGCTCGGGTATTTGGGACGAAGAGTCGGTGTATGTCGGGGTTGCTGGTGCATCTGGAATTCCAGCAGACTCCGCGCGGGGTGGAAGAGTATACGGCGCATGAGCAGATCGGCGCCGAGTAATTCCTCTGGAGCTGAGTGAATTGAACGCACTAAACCGACCAGAAGTGTGAGCAGTCTCGGATCTTGGGCTGGGCATAGGAACTAGGCCATGACGATGTGCATGTCCCTCCGCCGGTGTCTCTTCTTGACTGCTGAGAAGTCCACGAATGACTGAATTGGGAAGAAGCCTAGAACCCAGCCTTGACATAGTCGATTGTCTTCGTGCGGCCATTCGAGCAAATGCTGCAGTGCGGTATTCGCGAGCTGGGAGTTCGTACTCGGCCCCGTTCTCCTCCTCAATACTCCGCATGGGTTGTGAACCCCCAGTGGAAAATCGGCCTGGCCGGTCGGATGACATATCTTGGTCGCTTCTGTTGTATGTGTTCATGCCCGCTCGTGGTGACAACTCACCTTCTCCGTTGTGTTCAGCCGCCTGTCTATGATTCATGTTTTCATCCCTTGTATTAGGGCCACGCTGAATCGAGAAGGGTGCAAGGTGTGCCGGATAGCCAGTGTTGGATGGATGACGTTGCGTGGAAGAGGACTGTCCCATAGTAACAGAGTTGTGACCGTTGAAGTGATACAGAGAGAGTCAACGACTGTTCATTGCCACGCGAGGACCATGTGGCTAGTAGCGGGTATCGTGTCGATCTTGAATTGAACCTAGGAGATGGAGATGACAAGGAAAAGAAACTAAGTGATGTATGAAGCAGGCGTGGAGTTCTTGCTCAAGCTGACAGGGTCGATGCAGTTGATTCTCGGGAGGTGTGGTTCTAAAGGAGCCGTGTGTGTCGGACCTTTGGAACAAAGGAGTTGAGGGCGGACAGGGAGTTGGCGGTTACCGGGTTTTTTGCAACAGGTACAAAACGCGTAAGATAATTTCCTTGCCAAACACGATCAACAGCGGCCAGAGGTCTCAAACTGTCTGACTAGTCCAGGCACAGCCCACACTCCGAGTGGTATAACCGCCAAGCCTTGAATCTCGGAGAGCTATGGCAACCACGCTCAGAAAAGAACAGTCAGCGACCGGCAGACACGAAGCGGAGGTGAAAAAGCACTGGGCAAAATGAAAAGGGGTTACTAGAGGAAAAGGAAAAGGAGAAGTACAGGAGTCATGTCAAAGCAAGCAATTGATAGAGGACGATAAGTGATGATGTTTGCCTCCTTTGCTTCGACTTGGGTGCCTGAGGCACCTGATATTCATTCCGTCATCTTCCACAACCCGTCTCTCTGACAAATGCACAAATATCAATTGGGGCAATCATAGGCTCTAGTACGACCTTATTTGGCGGCGCATGGAATGCGCCCCCTCTCTAGTATATGGCTGCGCCGTCGTCTTCGGTTTTTTCTCTACCACTACCACCTTGGCTTCAGCCACCTGCCTCTCGCGTGTCTCAATATGACCGCCGAAAACGCAAAAAGAGTGTGGGGTGGAGTGAAAGTGACCTAGATGGCAACGAAACAACTGATATCGCATCGGCTACGGAATCTGAGCCAGCTGGGCCTCCCTTAGTATTGACGCCGAATGAATCCCATCAGTACCGAATTGCCGGTTTTCCGTCCAATCAAGAATTGCCGAAAGGTCATTTCCCACATGAAGCAGACAAGTATGAGCAACTCAGAAGAGAGACTACATCACGCCACCTCAAAGACTTGGCGGCATTATCACCTCCAATCTACCCTCCTCAGTCTGCCCAGCAAGGCAACATTCGCTTCCAGCATCTGGGTGCATTGACAGCCATTTTACATCGTTGTATGCTCCAAGGTGATTACATTCGAGCGGGACGGGCTTGGGGCTTGATTTTGCGCGAAGACTACAGAGGCTTTCAAATGGATGTCCGCAACGAAGCAAGGTGGGGCATTGGCGCTGAAATCTTGTTGCGCCGTGACGAACAGGAAACCTCGGCCAGTCCTGGTACCACCAAGGTGCCGAATGCGATGGAAAGCACACCCATAAATTTTACTGCCAAGGGCTTTGCGGCAGCCAAAGAATATTACGAACGTCTTATTCTCAACCATCCATTTACGAAATCTTCACCACAGTCTATTTCCTCTTTGCACTTCTACCCTGCAATGTTTGGTCTTTGGGTGTACAACACCCAGGAAGAAAGCAAGGCGACTAGGAAAAATCTTGCTCTTCGCCAAGAAGAAGAGCCAGATGAATTTTCTGAGGACGACAACTCAGAATCTGAATTCGCCCACCGTCGGAAGTCACAAAGTAAGGTAGATGCTGCCGTCACGGCAATCAGGGCATTGGAGCTAGAACAGGCGCAGCAGATTGCTGTGCGCATGGACCAGCTCCTAGCGTCTCCTCCATACTCTGACTCGCCTGAATTGCTGGAGCTCAGAGGCATGATTTGTTTATGGATCGGTGATCTGTCACTGTCTGCACTATCAATACCGGCGGACTTCGAAGAAAGCGACGATCCCGATCGAATGCTCATGGATGAAACCCCAGGCTCCCTTGCAGCGAGACGTGAGCACAGGCTTGCAACTGAAAAGAAAGCAGCTGAAGTTCAAAGGTCGATCGAGCTCTTCGAGAAGGCCAAGAAACGAGGCAGGAGTGTCGCATACAATCTGGAGAGTCTCCATATTGATGATGACTCTGCTAAGTGAGGTTCTAATTGAGATGATTTCGAAGGTCCTTCGCTGTGGGAATACCCCTGTAAACTTTTAATACATTATACCCCAAAGAATTGCATCTTATTTGTAACCTCAAACCTTTCTGGCCCAGTATAGTGAGTAATATTTCGTTGCACAAGACATGACATGTGAAAATTTTCGCTTATGTGGCCTTATGTGGTCATGGTATTCACGACTAAGGCAAGCTCGTAGGTCAAAGTTTTTTTAACATCTCTGCTGGGAGAATGATGCTGCTCGAATGCCCTATACTGTTGTAGCAGCCCTAGTAACTGTGGATGAGGCCTGAAGGCGTTTGAAATGACCGGCACGTGACTACGCGGCGATATCGCGTTTCCTTACCGTGGACTGTCCCCGTTGTCTTCCAGCATTATCAACAAAGACCACTTTTTGTTTACTGCTACAACAGCTAACCACAGAAATTATCATGGGGGTTGGCGATTATGTCCACTCCAAAGAAGGTGGGCAGGCTCGCGGGGCCCCCGACCAAGCTATTCAGTCGCGCCAGCAACGTGCAGAACAAGCCAGAGTCGAGGTACCAGTCACCCAGCTAGTCGATTCAGGTCTTCCGGGTGCCAATGGTAGAGGGGGATCGCTGGAATCGTATGGTCTATCTCAATTCCCAAATCAGCCCCTCAATATTTCTACGCATGGGGCGCAGCGTAACATGGATGTGTTTGATACAGACGTTGAGGCAATTGATGATTCAACCATGACGGGGACTAGTGTCTACGGATTTGATGACAACAAATCTCAGGCAGCGTCAAGTACCAATGCCGCCTACGCCAATGCGGATCCCCAATCGATGTACCAGCCTCGACCTTCTCGGAATGCTTACGGGTCTAACTGGTATGAAGGCCTAGGTGACGAAGCCATGAAGAAAGCGGGCTTTGATTCAGATGACTTTGAGGACTTTGGAAGCCAAATGGCCTCTTCTCATGGCGGAGATGGCGGGGATAATGAAAAGCCCGACGAAGCACACGACTGGCATATATCGCACAGACCGCGTACAAGCGAGGAGCCATTGAGCAAGCGCCTGGAGAATTTCTGGTCCGCCAGCAGAAAGAGAACTTCCTCTCGGCAGCCTGTCCCTATAGATTCCGACCCCGAGCTTCAGATCCAATCACAATCTAAGTCTAAGCCACGGAAATTGGGTCAAATGCTTCCTCCTATTGGGCCCCGGAAGGTCATTCTCCCTCACAGCTCGTCCGCAACACCCAGAACACGGTTCAGCCCACCAAAGCCCTCACTTCTTGAACAACTCGACCAACAACTCGATGCATCACCTACTCGCCATAACTCCCAACCTCCGCCAGTTGTTGGTCAGACACTATGCATTACATCGTTTCGGGAACATACTGACAGCGACGGCGGAAGCGATGATGGCATGGAAGACCATACCATACGTGCGGATGGACTGGGGGAAAGCGGCGGGCATTTAACCAACATCTTTGATATGACCAGTTTGACCGACCTGGACGTCGACCACACCATGCAGGATCCGTTTTTTGCGCACGAATCGCACGAATCGCACGAATCACACAAATCACATGAATCAAATGAGTCGTCGCGTCGCGGTCGTAGCAACACTGTCACCCATTCCAAAAAGCGACCACTCGAACCAGATTACCCACCAGAAGTGCTTTACCAAAAATCTTTCTCCGAGCTGCAAGCTGAGCCCTTTGATAAATCCCCAACTCCTCCGCCACCCGTCATCAAATCACCCTCCTTGCCACCTCCGCCACCTGTTGTCCAAGACACCCAGGAACCCAAGAATGCCGTATCCCATCTGTTGGCTCTGACAGACCAAGAACGCCTGCCTTATCTGTCTCATATGACCATGGATGAATGGGAAGACTGCGGAGACCAAATTATCGAGCATTTCACCCGCCTTCTTTCAGAAATGAAGAACTTACGACGTGCCCGCCGCCGCACAGCTGCTGTGTTTGAAGGAGAAGTCAAGCGCCGCCATGACCAAGTTGAAACAGAAAGCTTGGAGTTGACAAATAAGTTGACCGAGATGAGGACTGGCGGCACGGAGGTTCTCCGTGGACGTCACTCATGAGTGAGAATAGCTCTCTTGCTTGGCATGGCTTTTCATTGACCCTTATGTTGGTTGAGATGAATGTGTTTCGCCCCAACTTACCCATCGCGGGACTTGATTTATCCATGTTCAATACCCCTTTAACGCTTTCGATTCTAAAAAATGTTTGCTACTGTTAATTTGCTGGGGTCCTGCGTGGGGCTTATCACAATATGCATTTACATGTTGCTCTGACGGGTTAATTTTGCTAAATCGATGTATGATATGGACAATGCAGCTCACTCGCCAAACTATGCATAATTTGAACCAAGTTTTGTTCATCCAATGAAATGATAGATAAAATAACGCCATTGATCCAAAATGCAATAACAGGTCATCTCTCATTGCAATCAATGCGAAGGACATGAGATGAAAGAAGGTAATTCCAACCTTAGAAACTTATTGGGACTCAGCAGCGGGCTTATAAAGCGCAGCAACGAGTCTCTTGTAGTCCTCCAGTAGAAGGGTTACGTCCCCAATCCGGAGATCACGCGCATCCTGTGTCTCAAGAAACCGCTGAATCGGAGGATCAATTTTCAGCGAAGAGGTGGGGAGTGGGCTGACAGGACCACTAGTGCCAACCGTCGAAGCAGGTGATGGCTTGAATATATCCAGTCCCGATGGAGATGCGGACCTGCCGGTGCGGGTCTCCGGTGCGTTGCGGCCAAAATTCTTCATCATGCCCGGGATGTGGTTCAGAGGATTGAGCGTGCTGCCAAAGTTTCGCATCGATTCTAACGGAGTGGTAATGGGTGAACTCGACGAGGAATCTTCACGTAGTGATGCCGTGGTGGGCTTTTTACTGCTCCCCTGAGTTCGCGTACTGTCCACGCTCCGGTCTCGAGGGGTAGGGGCGTTAGAGAGGTCTATGAGTCTTGAACTTCTGCGAGAGGTTGTGCTTTCATCCACGGAAACCGAGTTGATTGCGACGAGCTCCCCTTGGGTCAGGGTTTGGTTGGTGGCGGAGGCAAGCGGCAAGCTCACTAGGCGACGAGCCTCGGCCAATGTCTTTGGCAGTATTGGTTCGCTACCCTCAGGGCCGGGTCCTTGGATGTTTTGCATTTCCCTCAGACGACCAAACAGAAAGTTGAAACTGCTGTCCAATGTAGCACCAATGTTCTTCAAACTTTGGTCGGCAGTTGTGCGCACGGCATCGTTTGCAGCCCCGAGAACTTTAGCAGGCGGCTGGAAAAGGTTGCTAAGGCGTCGTTGCTGTGGTGTGGCGGGGGGTCGAGGTTTGGGCAATGTAGAGGGGGCGGGTTCTTTAATTTCTGGTTTTGAGAGTTCTGGCGATGCAGATACAGTGGCCACAGCTGAGGTTGTAGTCTCCTTGTGGGGCCGAAAAGAATCAATGTGTTCTGTGGATGGTGTCGTTGTCTCATTAGGGGTCTTCAGAGGGCCATCCTGCAGCTCGTCAGCACGCAGTGTGGAGAGATCGACGTTTTCCAAAAAGCTTATTGCGGCCTCTAAATTGGTTAGGCAGTAAGCTGTTTCTCCGTCAATTTTGTTAGAAGACCTGAAACGTTGGATAAAGACCAAGTTGCTGACAATGTTTATCCCTTCCGGAGGGCATGTCACAAGCGAATAGATCAACGTGGGTAAAATCTCGTCTGCTGAAGAAGAAGACGGCAAAAGTTTAGTTAGAGCGTCAACGATGGTCTTGTGCGCGGCTGCGAGCTGCTGAAGCTTTCCAAGAGGGTATTTATAATCGTTCATCTTCGCGAGATGCTCCCGGGCTTGACGAAGAAATTCGTTGGCTTCATTCTGCTTCTGCTCATCGATTGATTCAAGGTCCATATCTATCCCAAGGTCCTTCAGATTGATGCCGACCAGCAGCAAAGCCGCAGTCTTGGAACGCAACTTTTCATCCCGCACATCATCTAATGTACTTTTGTGCCGCCAGAGTTTATCATAAACAAGCTCGCAGACCCTTCGTTCGGCAGCCTCCTCTAATGCACTCCGTTTGTTTTCAAGGGCTCTACGGGCCTGTCGCTTTTCGGCTACTTCAGACGGAGTCAACATTTGGCGACCTGAAGCTCCAAGAGTGAAATCATCTTGGGAGCGTTTGCTACTCAGTTTTGACAACGCGCTTCCTCGTGGAGCTTTTGCAGGAATCTGAGGCGAGATATCCCGATTGATGCGAGTTATGAGAGCAGAAATATGTGTGGCAATGTGGGACTCAGCGCGGCTGTAGAAAACTTGGAAGAGCTCGGAGATCTTCTCGATCGTGGGGGGTGAGTTGTGGACTTTGGCGCTCAGGGAATTCACAAAACTGTTGGTGAAATCGCTTTTAGATTGAATGTTGAAATAGGTGCCAATGTGGGGGATACTTACCGATCTGCCAGGCTGATGAGTTCGATTGGCAGCTCTTCTGAAGGGTCTTGTACGCTTCGCGAAAGCACAAAGCCATCATCTGTCTGGGCATCGGCTGCAGTGCCAGAGTCTGCGGAGCCTCGTCTTTCGAATACGTCTGATCCATTTTTCTGCCCCTCTTTGTGGACAGATGATGACATGGGTGCTGTCTTGGAATCTTGCGCAAGCGTTGAACCTTTCACGTCCGAGTTCCCCATTCTGGTGAATGACCGTGCTAAATTCAAACGAGACTGAGTGCTATTTTCAGAAGGGCCAGACATTTCAAGACCAGGGGCGATGGAGTTCTTCAAGGCACTAATTGCGTGTCTCCGCTCCCGGATGCACCTGATAGGCCTGTGCTGATCCGCGTCTAAGACCCCCAGCTCTAGCCTGAGCCTTGTTATCCGGAGGGCGATCAGAAGCACTCCATTAAAAGCATGGGGTGTACCACAGCCGACTAGCAACGGCACATTGATCTCTCGAAGACGATCTCAAAAGATATCAGATTGACGAGGAATTAGATTCACATGATATCGCGTCACGTCACGAGGGTACTCATCACGTGTCCTATCGCTCTCCGCACTGCGTCACTTGATAAGTGACTCGCCGATAACCGCGATAGACTCACCTGGGCACTTCTCCTTGATCTTGATCGTCATCAACCCCCATCATGCCTCGAAAATGTTCATGGATTGAATTTAGCATCAATAGCCTATTGCTGTCGGCAGCATTACTATCAGGTGCTGCTTCCGCGTCAGGCTATTATCCACACTCTCAACCACTTCCCATCATCCCGCCCCAGGTACCTTTGAATGGGGCCGAGGCCACACCAGACACCCATGAGTTTGTAAGATGTCCTACACAATTTTTAATCAACTAAGCTGACTCGCATCAAACTTTTATAGTTCTTACGCCACATTTTCCACCGAGGTACATCTGAACAACCCGAGCTTCATGCAAGACTCGACGTCAAGCCAGACACTCGCCTTCGAACTGTATCCGAAGATGGCTACGGAGAACTCTATATTGCATCGGAGTCCTCTTTGGTTGCTTCTTCTAGTCCTCTCACAATACAGCGGCTAGCCGACCGACGATTCTCGGCGATTCAAGGTCACTTGGCAGCAGCGCGGTCCTCGGGCTTTGCAGCCGCCTTGTCTCCACTAGAATGGGTCATGGACACCTTGCCAGGACCGAACATTACAGACAAGCAGACTGTCTTGACATTTGCACAAATGACCGCAAATGACTATATCGAGGAACCTGGAACAGGACAGTGGCACACTATCCATGGCCAGTTCAATTATTCGGGGAGCTTCGGTTGGCAAAAGGATGGACTGAGAGGGCACATCTACTCCGATAAGACAAACAGCACTGTCATCATTTCCCTGAAGGGCACTTCGCCGGCTCTTTTTGACGGCGCAGGTACCACAACAAACGACAAAGTCAATGATAATCTCTTCTTCAGTTGTTGCTGCGGTCAAGGAGGCTCATATCTATGGAGGCAGTCCTGCGATTGCCAGACTGCTACGTTCACGGCAAATTTGACATGCATCGTCGATTCTATGACCGACGAAAACCGGTATTACCGGGCAGCGGTCGACCTATACTCTAACGTTACCGAGATCTACCCAGATTCAAATATTTGGATGACCGGTCATTCGCTGGGTGGCGCAATGACCAGTCTGGTTGGATTGACGTTCGGGTTGCCTGTGGTCACTTTTGAGGCCATCCCAGAGGCACTACCTGCAGCTCGGCTTGGCCTGCCAAGCCCGCCAGGCTATGACCCACGATTTCCACAGTCGCGACAGTTCACTGGATCCTACCACTTTGGACATACAGCAGATCCAATCTACATGGGAACCTGCAATGGAATAAACTCTATTTGTACATGGGGCGGCTATGCGATGGAGTCAGTATGTCATACCGGACAGGTATGCACATATGACACTGTGGCAGACAAGGGCTGGCGTGTTGGTCTTGGCACTCACAAGATTCAAAACGTGATTTCTGATGTTATCTTGAAATACGACAGTGTTCCCTCATGTGTCGCAGAAGAGGAATGCTTCGACTGCGAACTCTGGAAGTTCTTCCGGAGCAACGGCTCTGAGATTACCACTACTACAACTACCACCCCCACTGCATCTCCCACTAGAACTTCTACGTGCAAGACCCCCGGCTGGTGGGGCTGTTTGGACGATAGCACAACTGCTACAACTACTACAACTACTACTGCTACTGCTACTACTACTACGTCACTGCCAAGCACTGCCACTACTACGACATGTTTGACTCCCGGTTGGTTCGGGTGCAATGATCCTACCACAACGGTCACACCAGCACCCACGGTGACCACCACTTTGCCCACAGTGACTGCAACGACCAGTTGTCACGACCCAGGGTGGTTTGGCTGCCGTGACGAAACTAGCACCGCCTCGCCCACATCCGCGACCTGTAATAGCCCGGGAATGGTGTGGGGATGTTGGGATAAGTCCACTAACACGCCTGCGATCACCTTGGCGCCCACTCCTACCAGCTAAGCCCCATTCCTTCCCGTACATGCACTTGCAGTATATTCTTCGTGCCTCTTTATTTCGATTGATATGTAGGCTCTTGATGAAGCCGCAAGCGCTAGATATACCCACCTACTTTTATGATTTGTTCAACCCCCAATCCACTTTGGAGGTTCCTTTTCCTGCGATACACAAGAAAGGATACAAGATTTGCGCACTGAGCGAGCATCTGTTTGGTTTTTCTTTTTTTCTTTTTGGTTCTTGTTCTTTTCACGCCCCTGTATGAGCACACTCAATTGAGAGCTTCTTGATAATTCCTCTGATTCCAAGGTAAGCACAATTCGAGGTTCTTTGCCGAGGCACAGATGAAATTAGCCAAGGCCTCGTGCAGCACCTTGGAGGGACTAGCCTTTGTAAGTTTCAACTACTTTCATCCTATGATATTCAGATTTTTCAACGAAGGTTTGGGATATTAGAATGTGTAATTGACCGGCCTGTAGCTGAAGTCTGCAAGACCAACTCCGTATCTTCGTGTTCGGAAGGGCACGCCGAGGCTTGCCGATCTCGGATCGACAGAGCAGATTCAGCTGACAGCCTGAGCTCGGCTGGGACTGCTCAATTAGGAGGCGATCTGACCTCCCCGGAATGTCTCTCGATCTAGCCACAGTCCATTTACAAAGCTATTCCCTACCTCAATTCACTCCAATTCCCGGATCCGACAGAATAACGTCGGCGTTTGGATGTCGATCGTTCTGCATGCCCACGTCAGAGGTCTGGCATTTGCAGATATTCAAAGGTTAAACGTAGAAAACGTAGAAAAGTCTGTTTATGCACAGTTTCTGACGTTTTTGTCGATTATATTCTACCTACAATATCACTAGGAAATATCTAAACAGAGGAATCAAAAGGAAACTTTGAAAAAGACTACCAAACGAAGGATAGGGCCGCAAACATGACCAGCTACTCACGCACAGTATCTCTCAATTTGTAAAAAAAAAAGAAGGCTGACGTCGAGAGGCATTAGATAGAGGACCATTTGGCAGTGGATGATTTCCATATCAAAATCCGGTGGGTCAGGCCTTGGACTTTTCCATGGCTCGCAAGGCCATTTTTCCCCTTTTATAAAGCAACGGGCTCCTAGGATTTTGTTTCTCTTCTCCATAGAAATTCTGCCATCATGGGTCAAGCTAACGAGCCTAGTAGGTTCTATTCTCCCGTCCTCAAAGCCTAGCACACTAACTTATGCTATCTCCTTCGCAGAAACTTACCGCTACAATGAGACTCCGGTCTACACGGCCTCCAACGGCTGCCCAGTATGGCCTACTCACTTTCCTCTGAATCACAAGGTCTAACCATATGTGTATATGTGTAGGTCATGGATCCCCAGGCTGCTCAGCGCATTGGCCCCAACGGCCCTCTTCTGATGCAGGATTTCCACCTGATCGATCTGCTGGCACATTTCGACCGTGAGCGCATTCCTGAGCGCGTGGTTCACGCCAAGGGTGCTGGCGCCTACGGAGAGTTCGAGGTCACTGATGATATTAGCGATCTCGTATGTACCAGCTGAGAAAGTTCTACAATCCCGCAAAGAACAATCAGGCTAATAACGCATAGACCATCATTGATATGCTCAAGGGTGTTGGTAAGAGGACCAAGATGCTCACCCGCTTCTCGACCGTCGGTGGTGAGAAGGGATCCCCGGACAGTGCCCGTGATCCTCGTGGATTCGCCATGAAATTCTACACCGAGGAGGGCAACTGGGATTGGGTGTTTAACAACACCCCGGTTTTCTTCCTACGCGACCCTGCGAAATTCCCCATCTTCATCCACACCCAAAAGCGCAACCCGCAGACCAACCTGAAGGACGCCACCATGTTCTGGGACTACCTCTCCACCCACCACGAGGCCGTTCACCAGGTGATGCATCTGTTCAGTGACCGTGGCACCCCATACTCCTACCGTCACATGAACGGCTACTCCGGCCACACCTACAAGTGGATTAAACCAGATGGCACCTTCCACTACGTCCAGATTCACTGCAAGACTGACCAGGGCAACAAGACCCTCACCAACGATGAGGCGGCCCAGCTGTCCGCCGAGAACCCTGACTGGCACACCCAGGACCTATTCGAGGCCATCCAGCGCGGCGAGCATCCCTCCTGGACCTGCTACGTGCAAGTCCTGAGCCCCGAGCAGGCCGAGAAATTCCGCTGGAACGTCTTTGACCTGACCAAAGTCTGGCCCCAGAACGAAGTGCCTCTGCGCCGTTTCGGCCGCTTCACCCTAAACCAGAACCCGCAGAACTACTTCGCGGAGATCGAACAAGCCGCATTCTCCCCCTCCCACATGGTTCCTGGTGCCGAGCCTTCCGCCGACCCCGTCCTTCAGTCCCGTCTCTTCTCCTATCCTGACACGCACCGCCATCGCCTGGGCGGAAACTACGAGCAAATCCCCGTCAACTGCCCGCTGAAAGCATTCAACCCTTCCCACCGCGATGGCTATATGAACGTGAACGGCAATTATGGTGCCAACCCTAACTACCCCTCTACCTTCCGCCCGCTCGCCTACAAGCCCGTCAAGGCTAGTCAGGGGCACGAAAAGTGGTCTGGCGCGGTCATCGCCGAGCAATACCCTGTGACCTCCGAGGACTACGTCCAGGCTAACGGTCTGTGGCAGGTCCTTGGCCGTACCCCCGGCCAGCAGGAGAACTTTGTCAGTAACATCGCGGGCCACCTGTGTGGCGCCGATGAGCGTGTTCGCAAGGCTACTTATGAGATGTTCCGTCGTGTGAACGCGGATCTTGGTGCTCGCATCCAATCTGCCACGGAGGCTCAGATTAATGGTGCCCCGCCAGCGCGTTTATAGGTGTGCTAGTTCCCTCACTGGTGTTCTCCTATTCACGATCATGGTGGATTCACTCCACATCACTGCTTCTAGTTGTCTCGGCAATTTGAATACGATTTACGAATTTTTGTATCATCCTTTGGCATTATCTTGAGGTTATCCAATAAGGAATTAACCGACTGCTCCGTAAATATCTCAAAACGGTCATTCCTTCTTTTGGGCCCTATAGATGTATTCTCCAAATCAAATGACAGTGGGTGATTTGACCGCAATACTGTAAACAACAATATCTCCACCTTACTTTGCCATTAACTCTTGTCGTTCTTCTGCCTATAAGTCGTTCAGCAATGAACACTAAGTGATCGACTAACCGGGGCGTATCATGGCTTTTCCATGATGCTTTTGTGCTTTTGTTTCACGTTCATTTCCTTGTCCAAGGAACGGCCTTGGAAAGCCTCATAAGCCAATCAATTCCATTAAACCAGGCGGAATATCCTCGGCAACTCACGCGTCCCAGTACAATCGATTCCGTTGATGGTCGTATGTTGGTATGTCCGTTCAAAGACACATTGGACCCATGCACATTGTACACCAAGATATAGTACAATTAATCGGGTTTATCAAAGATGAAAGAGTTCCCACGGAGAGAGGCTGTTGCTTGTAAGCTCTAAAAAGTTCGAGTAGGCATCGGAATTGCAAAGTTAGTATATCTTTATATTCACATTTGGAGATCATTGTAGAATTCAATGTCGCGAGCTGACAGGGAAATCACACACACAGGACCTGCAAGGGCGGAGAATTATAGTTCCCCCCATGTGGGGTTGCAAGCCCCCTGACATGGTCCCTCGTATATCGAAATTCTATATTCTAAAAGCTCTCGGATCAGCAAGTAGAACTAAGAAGAAGATCGATCTTAGTCCCAATTACATTGACCCATCCCTTACCCCATCCGGACTTCGCCAAGCTTCCCATCCCGCGAAAATTTGCGGTTTGAGGCTTCGAGCCCGTCAAATCTCCGTTCCCCGCCAATTCCGATCATTGGCTTTTTATCTTTTTTTTATCTAGTTTGTCCCTGCCTCAATATTCACTTACCTTTGGTAGTCAAGGGGACTTTTCGCCGCCCTGGAGCGCTTGCGTGCAATGTTCCCAGCATTGTGGGTACTTTGATTTTTCTTCCCCTGACTTCCGAACCAGGTCACCTTTCAAACCCATATCGAAAGTCATTCGTGACAACCCACCCACTTCCCCAATTTCCTTCCAGCGTCTTCGGTTATTCCGCCAGTTCCAACATGGCCGAACCCAAGGCCTCAGATGCCATCACACCGGTGGATGGCCTTCCCGAAGATGGTTACTCTTCGACCGCCGGACCCGCTTCGGATTCGTCCATGACAAAGGTCATTCAGAATGCAAAGGTAGCCACAGAGAAGGAGCATTCCATGACACTGATGCAGGGAATCCGGTTATATCCTAAGGCCGTAGTTTGGAGTGTGCTCATCTCTACTTGCATTGCCATGGAGGGTTATGACATTAGTTTAGTCAACAACTTCTATGCATTCCCGCAATTCAACCGCAAATATGGGGAGCGACTAGCCAATGGCACATATGAAGTATCCGCAGCGGTATGTCTAACCAATTCCGGTGGTTCCATCTCGTGGAATGAAGTACGTTTGCCTCTGGCAGGGAAGAAGCTGACAATTCGTTGGGCGTGCAGTGGCAAGCAGGTCTGAGCAACGGTGCTTACTGCGGCGAAATCATCGGTTTATTCATCAACGGTTGGGCTTCGGAACGCTTCGGTTACCGGTACACGATTATGGCTTGCCTCGTTCTTGTCAGCGCGTGGACGTCAATCTTCTTCACGGCCAAGAATGTGCAATCCTTGCTTGTAGCGGAGATTCTCTGTGGTATTCCCTGGGGTGTTTTCCAGACTTTGACGATTACCTACGCTTCGGAGGTGTGTCCCGTGGCACTGCGAGGATATTTGACGACCTATGTCAATTTCTGCTGGGGCCTTGGTCAGCTGATTGGCATTGGGGTGATTAAGGGCATGTTGAGCCGGACCGACGAATGGGCCTACCGGATTCCGTACGGGCTGCAATGGATGTGGCCGCTGCCACTCTTCACTGGAATTTGGCTGGCTCCCGAATCTCCGTGGTGGTTGGTTCGGAAAGGCCGCACGGAAGATGCGAAACGGTCCCTGATACGCTTGACCAGCAAAAGTCAAGGGGACTTCGATCCCGATGAGACGATCTCGATGATGGTTCACACTACTGCTCTGGAGGAAAAGATTACCAAAGGTGCGAGCTACCTGGATTGCTTCCGGGGTACCGATCGACGCCGCACAGAGATTGTCTGTATGGTCTGGGCGATTCAGAATCTTAGTGGAAACTCCTTTTCCAATTACTCGACCTACTTTTTGGAACAGGCTGGGTTAAGTTCCGCTAACTCGTATGCCTTTGCGATGGGTCAGTATGGCATCAATATGGTTGGCGTGTTTGGATCGTGGTTCCTCATGACACTCGGAATCGGCCGGCGCACGTTGTATCTGTACGGTCTCTGTGGTCTGTGCGCCATGCTCCTGATCATGGGTTTCCTTGGTCTTGTTCCTGAAGAGCATAAAACCCAAGCTTCCCTGGCCACGGGCGCCATGATGTTGATCTGGGCCCTATTCTACCAGCTAACGGTTGGCACGGTCTGCTTCTCTCTTGTAGCCGAGCTCTCCACCCGCCGACTTCAGATCAAGACAGTCGTTCTCGGCCGCAACTTATACAACATCGTCGCCATTGTCTGCGGCGTTCTGACGCCTTATATGCTGAACCCCGGCGCTTGGAACTGGGGCAACTACGCTGGTTTCTTTTGGGGTGGCATCTGCTTTCTGTGCATCATTTATACTTACTTCCGCGTTCCCGAGCCTCGCGGCCGCTCGTTTGCCGAGCTGGACCTGCTCTTTGAGCGCGGCACTAGCGCTCGCAAGTTTGCAACGACCCAGGTGGACGTTTTCGATGAGACTATTGAGAGCCGCGCGGTTGATGATTACCGGGCGGAGAAGAACGACCCTACCGATGAGAGTCAATTGGAGAAAAACCACGGTCCGATATGATGCGATGGGTGTTATGTTTACGACTAATTCTGCCTTTGAGCCCAAAAGTGATTGGCACTCTTGCATGTACATAGCGTTTTTCAGCATATAGCACTAATCTAATATTTTCACATAATGGTCCAAGGCAATGTGTTAAAAATTTTTTTTGAATTTATCCCACTCCTATCTAATTCCTCTGATACACACACCTCCACTTCTTTATTGTTGTTATACCCCCCCCCCCCCCCCATTTCCGGCATACAATATAGTTCCTTCCTAGGAGTTGCCCCACCAAGCACTTCTCATATGGCAGATGGGACGGGTGTGGATGTGAACCTGCAACGAAAATGCTAGGCAGAAGTGCATTAGATGATTCTACTCTGTCGTACAAACGAATCCTCTACTCTACAGCTTCCGCATGGTGGATCAAACCAAGGCAATGAACAAAAGCCAGCTTTTTTTTTATTCCAAATGGGTCGTTCCTCCCATCTATTCATGGGACCACTCCGCCTTTTTCTTTTCCGCAAAGGCAGTCATACCTAGAATGATCGTTAGCAACACAATCTCCAACCCACTACCTCAGCGGACCGAAATACCAACTCACCAATCTTCTGATCCTTACTCCCAAACAGCGCATGGAATAACCGTCTCTCATACTCAACCCCCTCCTTGAGCGACAACTCCTGACTCTTATTAACAACCTCCTTACCAGCAATAACAGCCACTCGGCTATAGCTAGCGATAGTCTCGGCCGTCTTATAGGCCTGCTCAAGCAACTCCTCCTTGCCACCCGGCACAACTTTCGCGGCTACACCCCACTCACCAGCCTCTTTGCCGCTGAAATTCTTTCCGGTGAGGATAAGTTCCATGGCCTTGCTCTTGCCGACCGCGCGGGTCAAGCGCTGAGACCCGCCTGCACCGGGGATCGTGCCCAGCTTGATCTCGGGCTGGCCGAAAGTGGCGGTCTCGGTGCAGTACAGGATATCGCACATCAGGGCGAGCTCGCAGCCGCCGCCGAGGGCATAGCCGGAGACGGCGGCGATGACTGGGGTGCGGATGGAGGTAGCGAGGTGGGACCAGGGAGCGATAAAGTTCTCGCTGTAGGCGGCCGAAAAGCTAAGAGGGGCCATTTCTTTGATGTCGGCGCCGGCTGTAGAGGGTTGATTAGGTTATTATATTGTTGGTGTACACCCAGGGAGTGACTGTAGTTTACATGGTGTGCGAAGAGTGTAGATAGGGCAGGTACATACCGGCAAAGGCTTTCTCGCTTCCTGTTATAATGATTGCGCCAATACTCTTGTCGTTGTCATAGTTGCTCAGGGCTTCATTAAGCTCCTTGAACAAAGGAGTGCTTAGTGCGTTAAGGGCCTTGGTGCGGTTAAGAGTAACTAGATTAGGAATCAGAAATTGATCCTATGGGATATTGACTGCTGCTACGTACTCAATCCCACGCCGGGCTTGGGGGTTGAAGTGAGGATGTGCTCGTAGCCACCAGCGGCTGAAGAATAACCCCGGACTCGGGCTAGGTAGGAAGTCAAAGGGACCGATGTCCGAGCAGTGACCAGACGAGTGCATTGACGGGCAAACATTATGATATGTGAAAGAGCTGTTAGCTTTGTTCAGATAATTTGAAATTGAATTGTACAAAGTAAAGAGAGACAGTAGCTACGCGTTACCCATCATAGATGGCCCATTTCCCCGCGACCGACAGAACGCCGAAGTTAGCCGTCCCGAGGCACACGTGAAGGGGCTAATCCCTTTTTGTCTGCCTGTTGACATTGCACTGCCACTTGCTAACCATGCCACATATCACGTGTGTTGGGTGGCTGGTGAATCATCTCTAATATGATTGGCCCATCGGCAGTGGACACTTTTCTGTCCTGATCGAAGCGCAGTGCCTGTCCTGGAATGTCTGGTTTCAGCAGGTGATCTCATTCACTGCTTTTCCTTTACTTTCCCTAGTTCCTTTTTTTTTCCGGTGGTCTAGCCCTGCGCTTTGCCTTGCATCTCTAATCTTTTTCCATCATGGACGTCCCTGAGCCCGACCAGTCGCCCTTCACAGCTGTGTCCGCGCACACATCTAGACTAACCCGAGTGAGTGCCTTGTAAGAGGCAAAGACTTTGCGCAACGTCTTTGGATCCTTCATCTTTTTGAAATCAGTCGCCACAGTCTGATCCAATTTGCTAATATGTTAATGGTAGCACTACCAAGCCTACCTCGATGCCTGCACACCGTACACAACCTACCGTTGGGTTGGTTCCGGGGTGCTCTTGCTCCTCTTCTTCCTGCGCATTTTCCTCGCGCAGGGCTGGTATATTGGTAAGTCTCAATGGAGTCCCTGGAAATGCATTCAGCAGAGTGAAAATGATGCGCCTCAACGCCCCAACACGCGATAGTCATTCATCAACTGTGCTGGAAACATCTGCATAAACAACCTGCTAACGCTGGGTATTTAAATTCAGTCGCCTATACCCTCGGCATCTATCTGCTGAACCTCTTCCTCGCTTTCCTGACTCCAAAGTTCGACCCCTCTCTCACCCAGGACGAGGGTCTTGAGGACGGTGAAGCTGGGTCCCCTAGCCTCCCGACTAAAAAGGATGAGGAGTTCCGGCCCTTCATCCGCCGTCTGCCCGAGTTCAAGTTCTGGCACTCGGCCACCCGCGCGATCGCCATTGGCTTCGTTTGCTCCTGGCTCGCTGTCTTCGACATCCCCGTATTCTGGCCGGTGCTGGTGGTTTACTGGTTCATTCTGTTTGTGCTGACGAGTATGTTTTCCCCCTTTGGATTGGACTTTGATACAATCTTTGTATCCTTTGGTTATGGACGGATGTCTAACTTGGCTTCTTTTCGGGGTAGTGCGACGACAAATCCAGCACATGATTAAGTACCGTTACGTGCCTTTCTCCTTCGGAAAGACGCGGTACGGTCGTTCATGAGATCTCCGATTTCTGAGCTTTTTTTCTATCTCTGACTCTATATCCACGATCGTTCGCATATGCATGTTTTGTATCGGTATGCGCACTTTGTCTTGGTGAGCAACGGACAGGCATGATATGATGAGAAGTAAAAGCGCTGGGCTTATGGTAGTCCAGTCCATTTATGAATTTTCCCAGACTCTTCTTTTAATCACTGTGCGTTTAGAGGGCCGCTGCTTTGGCGTGTTCCAGTCTTCTTCCTCTGTGAAATATGATTAGACCTGAAGTCAAGGAGTGTACTTTTTTTGGAATAACCCGACTCCCAAAGCTCCATTTGGCGGTTTCCTTTTTTTTCTCGTTCGCCAAACGATACACATTATTTAAGACATTTCAAGTAAAGATGATCGAATTTGCGATTGTATACCACCATGGTTACAGTTGAAAACAATTAGATTGGATTATGAGATGATCCTTGCACTTCCTTCATCCAAAGCTATAAAAGCAGAGAAAGACCGTCTAATCTTCTTCCCTCACCTGTTACCTAGAGGGTTCCCACTCTCGACCATCTCCAACTTGGAGCAATACAACGCCGTGGACTCAACCTTGTGACTCTAACTTATACTAGTACCCGAGTGAACACCACAGCACGGGCATGAACATGGATATGAACATGCCTTTAGGATTCTCAACCTCCACCCAAATCACTATCCTCTTCAGAGGTTGGACAACCACAACCGTGACGCAATACATCTTCACCCTGGCCTTTCTTTTCCTCCTCGCCATCTTCAATCGCTTCCTCGGCGCTCTCAAATTCCAACTCGAACAATCCTGGTCCCAGCATGTCGCTTCCCCTCCAGCCCTGCTTCTCGCTCCAGTGAATTCACGACATGGCATCCGAAAAGCAAAGCTCAGTCCTCTCCCGGACTACATTCGCGTGCACGGGGATGAGAACCTTGAGGAAGAGACCTTACTAGTTTTACAGAAAGATAATGACACACAAAGCATGTCAGCGAGGCATCTGAAAGGTGATAGCCCTCGGAAGAGAACCTCACTGAAACGCTTGCTCCCGTCATGGAAGGCTAGTGGAACGTGGAGTCTCCGGAAAGACGGGACACGTGCGGTACTTGAGTGTGTGAGGGCTTTGATCGGATACTTCTTGTGAGTGGTTACATCTGCTGCTGTCTGCATAGGTCGGTGTCGCACAATCAACTCATGCTGATATTGACAGGATGCTCTCCGTGATGACATTCAACGTTGGCGTCTTCGTGGCTGTGATCTTGGGCATCTTAGTGGGCGAACTACTTCTTGGGAGATTCTCTCAGGGAACACCCGGCTGGCAGGAAGGGACTTGTCATGGGTGACTGGAGTTTCAATCGCTGCAGAAGTCCCGGTGGTGCTCCCTTTACTCCACACTGTGTATTGCTGCTTGGTATTCCGCAAAGGCAGCTTAGTGCCTAGGTAATGGTTGAGGTGGGCTACCAGAGCTGTCGCTAGAGACATGCTGATCCCATTCAAGCTTCATTATTTACCTCACTCCTTTACCAAACAAGGGGACCTAACAATGTAACCCAAGGAAGTCATTTGCCCTCAGCTGAACCCCGATCGACCTGCTGCTGTTGTACCGGCTGAATCTCGGATTTTGGGCTGCAAATCATCGACCCTATGCAACCCGACGAATGTTACTACCAATCTATGTCCAATCCAAATCACCAAATACCAGTTCCTCTAAGATGACATACCTGGAGCAAGCGGAACCATAATCGCCCAAACCTCCCGACAATTGCAATCAACCCCATTGAGGTGTGAGCACTTGGCTAGTGGACGTCCAGCCTTGGGGATCCTCTTCATCGGTCGGTCATAGTGTGCGCATTTGGATGAGCGGTGGCCTCGAATGCAGGATTCACTTTTGCCGGGTCTGTAAGTATTTTCTACAATCTAGTATAGATCCACGACAGGAGAGATCGCACCAAGACCATTTATCACCTTGAGTGTCGAATGGCATATCTCTTGCTGGTTCGAAGACAGCCCAACTCCAAAATATTGAAAAAATATTGGGTCAACGTCTATGGGGCCTGAAAACGCGAGAACATTGGATCTATTCAGTAAATGCTAAAACCTTGCGGGAACAGTCTACAAGATATTGAAAATGTAGACTACTTGCGCAAATGCGCTCAAATCAGCGCCGGGGAGATCGGCCACTACATACCCTTTTCTGGCTGATCTGCGGGGATCTACAATGTAGGCTGTACTCCGTATGTTGTCCAAATCAACCATTGAGTAGTCAAGACCTTGGGAAGGATATCATCGGAACATCGATCCTCTATCTAGATATCCTGGAGAAACATTTGAGATTTCTTATAATCTGAGAAGAGCAAGGCCAAGAAATGGAAACATCTTGGTGCGTGGTTGCTGGAGATCGATGAATGAAGCAGTGTCCGGAAGTGTCCATGAGGGTTCTTGAGCGGAGACGATATAGTTAGGCAAAATCGATCCCTAGCAGCAGGGTCGATTGACGTACGTCACACTTGACAACAAGCTGATCACATGTATAAGCCTTCAGCGACAATGTCAAGAGCCATTAAGCCAAGGATCCTTTTTTAGAAGATCAGAGGCGGATGGTCTGTCGTCCGGATCTCACTGCAGCATCTTTCGCATAAGTTGCAGGAAAGGATGCCTACTTTCGTCTTCAAGATACACCGAATCTTCTAGCGATGGGCTAGGGACACCGAGGTGCCCCTTCCACTGACCTATGTTCATGTTAAATATGCCGAGAACTGTGTTGTAAGGAATCAAGACCGGAATGCCAGATTGGTCCAAATCTCTTTGAATTTCTGAGGATTTGTGCAGAAAACTGGTCGGTGGAGAACCGAGCTTTTGCTGTCGTCTCAGCCAGAAGATGCAAGTTCGAATGCTGTTCATCCGATTCTCTGCCGTCGAGTAGATCTGAAATTCCTGTTAGCATGAGTTTACGGAAACTCGAACTGACTAGTGTTCCAACAATCCATCCCATAAATGACCTCCGGTGTTCTATGCACATCTGGTTGAATTAAACCACTGTGTACGTTGCCAATTCGAGCTTCACCAAATCCAGAGAAGATCGGTAGACCGAATCTGCTTAGGGCATTTGCCCGACTGAAAGGCTGAGAGTCATGTAGATTGTGCGGCCGTTGACAACTATGCATGGACTTGGGTTCTCCTTCTCAAACTTGGCGGGTTCATCGTCGCCTGAAAATGCAACAACTCTTGTCACGAGAGGTTCGAAGACCATGCGTTGGTGTTTGCCGTTGGGGGCTTCGACCTCGCAAGTATCAAGCATGGGATGAACAAGATCTCTTTCAGCATATCTCGTTTTCAGTTCTGAAAGGTACCGGGAACCCTCAACTTCTCGACTCATTCTCAAGGCATGGATATAATTTTCAGAGCAATGTGGCGATTTTGCCTGGGCTCAAGTTAACATGAAAGCAACCATTGCATTGTAAGCAATGGTTGGTTACTGAACATCGCGGCAGAGCCAAACGGTTGAATGCGCGACGAAGCCCAATTTGTCGATACCCTGGTATCTAACATGAGAGAGATCACCAGATTGCACAGGGTTAAGGACGTCTATGTCATAAGCAGGTATACGCTCCTCTTCAATTCTTTTGACTGGGCCAAGGGCTTTGAGGCTCAAAATTCGGGTGGCCGGAGAGGAGAACCGTTTTGGCACGATAAGGCGCGACTGAATCCAAACAAAAAGGAGTTCATTGGAATCAGTTTGATTAGTCCAACTTGGACGAACGAAAGTTGTTTCTGCCCTGGATTACACAGAGGATGCCCTTGGACATATGATCCGCAAGGCAAAGATGAAAAGAAACTTGTTAAGAACCAGGGCTTGCGTGTCAGGAATCTCTCCGACACAGATTGACTCAAAGGTAGTCTAAAAGACGAATGATAGTATTGGCAATATAAAGATGGTGGGCGCGATTAGGACAAGCTGTAGGCATTCTTCCCGACTCCTCCAGAAGTTCAGATCATACTCCTGCCCCCTGCGCGTAAAGGCAAGCAATCGAGACACACCCTCTAACTCCAGATCGTAGGTATCATGAATCGGCACCGAGACACATGCGGCGTAACTTAGAAGGACCACATCAAAGAGAAACATAAGTTCCCATCATCCTCAAATCAAAAGATTCTCCACGCTGCTCGGCATCTTGCCTTTCATTATAGCGCTGTCCCCCAATGAGAGGGTCGACATTTTGCGGTCTGGACTGGGGCGGGATAGTTCCTCTGATTTAGTACAGATCCAGGTCGATGCGTACATATTCACCCTGGAATAGATATTAGCCTCGTTCGCAATAGTCAAGAACGGTATTCCGAAACTCACCGGTCAATACATGTACCTGGGAAACGAGCTCCGACGCGACGAGCAGAGAAGCCGTTCTCTTCAAAGTGCTTGATGTACCAAGGATCGATACTAGCGGAACGGAGGAGAATGCGACCACCCATCTTCAAGGCTTTGTTGAAAGTGCGGGCTTGGGCAGGGGCTGAATCCTCTGCGGGATCAAACCAGTCCATCGAGTCCATGACCTAGCATAGAATTAGCGTGAAGGACCTTGATCAACGTGAATTCTATACTTACGACGGCGATAGTCAGAGTTCCTGGAGTAATACGATTGATGACTTCGTTGATCTCATCAGTGTGGATACGAAGACCATCAAACGCACCAGGCGTAGAAAGCCTGACATGTGCCTGGGGAGAAAGATAGGTGGGGTGGCATCTATCATTATAGTTAGTATGTGCAATGAAAGACAAAGGGAAAAGGAACAAACCTCCGTGAGAATTTGCCCTGAATGCAAAGGAAGTAGAAATAATTGTCGTTGCTGATCAGAGTTTCGTTGACCACAGGGTCAAGCGTATTGACAACATATTCCCAAATCGATTGGCCGCTGACGTCCTTGCCCTTTTTCATATCTTCAGTCAAGCCGTTACGGCGGAAGAAGTCATCGACAATCATATTTCGCTGGTTGCGTGGTACTCCGGCGGCCTTCCAAGCGAACCACTCGGTGCTCACAATAGCCCAGTGGAGTGGTCGGCTCATTAGCACACGCCGAATGCGAGGCCAAATTTCACGCTGCTCTGCAATGCTCTGTGCTTCACACAACTTGCGAACTTCGCCCTGGAGTCCGAAGAAATTAAAGAGCCATCGCACCATACGAATGGCGTGGCGAGATCCACCGGTCTCATACAGACCATGCCCAGAGGTGGAGGTGAAGATATGTGTGTGCTCGAGCCAGTACTGGAAAGCCTGGCTGGATAAGTGGGGGCTGAGTTTAGAGATCAGCAGCTCACGGAATTGTGAATGCTTGCCATCACCGAAGATTTTCCACATATCCCGGTGACCCAACGCTGAGTAACAGGCAACCTTCAGCTCGAGAAGATGGTTCTGATTAGGGTTCAAGTCCACTGCGTGCACCCGGCGGGGGCTCTTTTGTAGATAGTCAAGAATGTTGTCGCCGGCGCTGGTGATGGCCAGAATGACGTCGTCTTTCCCGATGTTAAGGAGTCGGTGGTCCACCCGCGGGTCTTCCCATGTGAACGCATAGATATACTCGTTCTGAAATTGAGTGTGTTTGGGTAGCATATCGTTGTAATGGATACGATAGTGGTGGTTCTGGTAAAAGGATGATGGAAGCGGCAGGTTTGCACTCAGATTAATCACTGCAGACTCGTATGCCTTGGAACGAATCTCTTGCGTGCTTCTCATCACTGCATTTTCCATCTCCTGCATGTGATTGACAGGAAGCAGGTAAGGAGACTCAGTAAAAGACGCATCCAGCTTTTCAATGGATTGACTTGATGGAGTAGATGCCATTTCCTTTGGGCAACCAACAAATATGTAGTAGGGAATACCACCAAGGAGATAATTTCTCTCACTGGCGGAGATGATAGTACCAAACTTGTATTCCAGATAGTCTCGACGGGCAGCTTCAAGGCTGACGCGGTCAAAATCAAACCAGGCTCTCCAGAATACACGTCCGAGCCAGTTGACATGACGGTTGAAGGCGCCACCAGTATAGTTGCGACAAGACACGTCCACAATGCTTTGGACTACATTTAAATGAGTGACATTTATGCAGAACTTTGAGGTGTTGCTTACCGTAAAAATCGCACACACCCAGCATTCCAGTTGGCTTCAAGCGGGAGGTCAATGAGTCCACGACGCTGTAGTAGTCTAGAAAAAATCAGTAACTATAGTCTTGCGTGGAATTGTAAATACTCACCCGGGATCATTGATAAACTGTAGCTCATAGTTATCAAGTCCACATCATCCTTTGTAGCATTTGTAGAACGGGGGTCAATGTCCCTTTCAGGCAGATGGAAAGACCGTGCATCCTGGCAGAGAACGGTGACATTCTTCCACCCAAGACGCTCGAAGCGCTTCCGAGCAACTTCGCAGAGTGACGGGGAGAGATCGACTAAGTAGACGTGTTTGAAGAATTTATCCACTGGAAGGAAGGTGGCCATGGCTTCGATGTTGTATCTATCGCAGGTCAGATGGTTATTGTCTGCATCGATTCGGGGTTCCTCTCGTGCTTACCCAGTACCACCACCGACCTGGAATACATTAGCGCTAGCTCAAAAAGATAGCAAGCCAATACTCACGTCCACCCAGACAACTTTTCCCGCCTTGACTTCTTTGTTGTTAATTTTGTACTTCAGCTGTGCCGCCACAAGCCCAAGCATGTCCTCGCGACCATAGAGCAGGCGACGACGAGTGGCATCGTAAATTGCGGCCTGACTCGGTCAGCTTCAAGCCAGATCCAAACTCTGGACTATGTGATCGTACCTGTGTCTTGTAGAAGCTCTCCAACGCATCCTGCTGACCCCCGGCCTTCTTGTCGTGCGGTTTGATGAAGTTCGCCCAGATGAACTTCAAGTAAGGACCAGCTCTAGTGTTGGTGACCTTGATCTGTTGAGAGGAAATGAGAAGAACCAGGCTGACTAGGGCCAACACCAGAATGGCGGCCCCGATAATGTAGACATGCGTCCAATCCATGATCAATGTGCAAAAAGCTATGCAACGAAGAGTGAGAGAAGCGACCGTGAGATTCAAATAAAAGTCCAATTGGCTTTTATTGACTACATGTCTCTCTCACGAGGAGACGGCTGCGTGTTCCATGTCCTATCACGGCAACACATGGGGGGTGCAGATGATAAGAGGGAGTGGAGGGGCAAGGGAAGGTACCAAGGACATGGACTACACGTATAGCTGCGTACATCTAGGAAGTATCTTATACATGGTCTACTGTAGCCCTTGAGATTGAAAGAGTCGATCTTCCGAAAGCAGCATAAACCAAAGTAAATCCACTGTAAATCAATTCCGATCCAACTGTAAGAGTAATTTGGTTCCTGCAGTAGCCAGTAGTCCCTCATATCTGGGCCATTCATAGCCCCGTCACTTCCCATGTGGTCCCCCGAAAGTCTTGGCATTGCCCGTTGAGGTCCCATCGATCTGGCCCGTGGGGCATGCTGTGACCCCTATAGGGTCGTAACAAAGGCCAATTCTCAGGGCATACGGGTGCCAATCAGCTCCCCGTTTGCTAGCACACTGGGAGTTCCCCAGATTTGATGGGATCTCATTGTCACCAGTGTTAATTATAAAGATTGTGAGAGCCGGAATATTTGGGGATCACATACGATTGGTTTTATTAGTTCGATTTGCAAAATTAAGTACATACAACTACATGTAAGATCTTTTTCATCCCTCTCGGACTTATCTCTCGGATGTTGAGCAAATTTTATAGATGGGAAATGATAGGCGGTCGCACATCTATCTTGCTCTCATTACGTTACTCATCACAATAAGTAAATAGAAAGCAGCAAACAATTACCGAGATTGTGATGCTTCGATAAGTAGTGAATTCTCCAATAGCGATTGACTGGTTGAGCCCCATTGGAGCCATTCATTTTGGCAATGCACCTATGTTGTATGCGTCCCTAATCTAGCCTGTACAGTCATCCTGGACAAGCAGGTATCTGGGTGGATCTCGAAACCACTTCCAGTACATGAACGACGGGGTTTGTATATTTGCGGGCCTGATGATGTCGTATAATAAGCGATTGTGAGGCAATTCAAAGTTTCTTGTTAAATGACTGGATAAAAAAGAGATATGCCGTCTGACAACTCCGATGCAGCCCTACTGTTCCCTTTTTGGCTTAGTCCGGGAACCTCCACGGCCCCACTAATTTAAAGTTGTCTCAAGGGGGCCGAACCCTGGAACCACGCGAGTCTGACGCTGCTTCAACCGTCATGGTCAGCGACAGAAGATATCGAAGAACACAGTGTAGACGATTTTAACTACTTCTATCGTCACATTTATTGCGGAAAGGAAAAACTTTTAGTGGAACTCAAAGCGACTATGGCCATAGCCACGAGGGATAAACATCCTCTTTTCTCAACCTGGCTATTAATGGGCAAAGCCTATTCAAAATTAATTGCCGGTCACTTTGGTTCATTTGGACTCAATATTGGGGTGACTGGCGGAACCAGGAAGCACAATTCCACGGCTGGAGTATTCATCATTATGGAGATCTTGCGCTTATCCTTTCTAATCCACCGTCATTCTATGCTACCGACCAGCTCGTAGACTATCTATGAAGGGGCGACTCAAACATTTATTTTACTTGCATCTCAAAGATGGAGTGATTTTGAAACATAAAACAGGTAAAGATATGCACTTGAGAAGTAGCCGCTACTTTTTTTTTTCAAAAGCACATCGCGCCTGGGTCACAACGGTAGAGACTTTATTTGTTAATGTGCCGTGATCAATCTTTTTGGATCTTGTCGTACTTAGGCATAACCCATTTCACCATCCACTTGGATCCAAGAACTTGCTTGGCAGTAGGACAAGATTCAGGCCTATTACGAAAGCATCGACCGCAGCATCAAGAGAAGGATATGGCGATCCGCCGGTTCAATGGGCGGTATCCCTGCTGCCTGTCGAGGCTGCTGCATACTGTCCTCGAACCAGCCCTCCCACGACCAGTGAGGCTCTCAATTTATTGGCATCCTATCTTCAGTGAATAGATAAGATCGTTCTATCTATTTATACCACTATTCTAGGAGTAATATACAATCTATTCGACTTATCAGTCACGCTATCCTCAGTTACTAGGAAGCCATCGAAAACTAGGCTTTAGGCAATAATACTCAATGTAGAGTATCCGAGTGACTAGATACTAGACAGGAAGGTGAGAGGCTGATATAGTTCGAATCGAACTTCCGTGAGGAGGTTTACAAGTAGAGCGTAAGATTAGAGTTTTTTTTAGCCAGGTAGGATAGAATAGCTCACCAAATCAGCGAGTTGGATCTTTGTTTCTATGTATAAGATTATTGCTTATTTCTCTAAACTATAATGGCATAGTAGTATACGATAGGATACCCAGTAGTAGAGGTTTACTATCAAGCGCCTCGTTGCCTCAAGATCTGGCCCTCTATGCCATTTACACAATCTCTCGATAGAGATAGAGTTGAAGTTGAATCATAGCTAGAGAAAGACGTTTCTGTAGTAAAGATCATATCCTAATGACTTTTGGTCTTGTGCTAGCCATGTAGTTGAGTCAGCACCGTGGCTGAGCTTGTGAGCAACGAGATAGTGATCATGAAATAGGTCCCCAATTGCTGTGGGGTGATGGCCCCCTACACGGTAGCATTCAATTTATATACTCCCTCGATAGGCTCGTATAGATGATGGGGAAAAGTATCGTTCTTTGTCGATTGAGATAGTGACATAGGAGTACGATAAAGGCCAAAAGGGCGATAAGATCGGATTTCTCGTGGTCTGATCAGCGCTAAAGCTGTATTTTATTCGAGTGAACTTGGTCATTAGGGGACAATATTATCTTAGGTGCTCCTCGGCGCATAAAGTACAGGCCCTCGTTAAAGGTTGGAAGGAGACGCGTGCCAAGTGAGGCTTGGGGCGAACTTTCTTTCGGGAGATTTCCAAAGTAGGACAGCCCCAACAGGACCACTCCACACAACACTATGCAAAGCTACTTGATCTTCTCTGCTTCTTGGTCTTCCGTTTCCATTTCAGTGCTCAGATCTTGCCGCCTTTTACTCCCTGAACAAGGCCTGAGCGCTCTGATTTGCTCACTGAGCATCACATTGTGGCGATCCGAAGATTTTCCGGGGCATCTATACCCTGTTTTCAACCATGTACGGACTATTGTCAGATAGGTTTCGACACTTGGCAATGTTGATTTGACAGATGCATCTCGTGTTATCCATAGCACACCACTGAGGAGCACTCGACATTCATATCATAATCAAGCCTGCGGAATCACCGGTCAATCCACATGAAGCGGGCACGCTCTTGCTCCCTAGCCCCTCTGCCCCCGAATCATAGAAAGTTCGATCGTACAATCGCTAGCCTTACCTCTGATGCTCTCCAGGAGCACAACAAATCTATTCAGCCCCTTTCTCCATTGGCTCTCTTTTATATGTCTCCTCAACAGAAAACCGCCAGTGTATCAGATGTTCCAATCATACTTCCTTCTTCTACGCGCTCCTCGCAACGATCTCGATCGAGCAGTCCGTCCCGACCGAGTGATGCACAATATCGCGCCGGCTATCTTCGGCGCGCCAATATGTTCGTGGATAACGAGACACCTGCGGACATCTGTGATTATACAGATAAGAAAATCTTTTATGATATGATGGATGATGCTCATTTGTACCAGATATCCGAAAAGCTTTAGAGCAAATCCAAGGAACTTGTCAAGAAACCATCGGGTGAAGCTGAATGGACGGAAGCCTTACATACAGCAATTGATGAGTTCAAGTTCAAGGGGCTTGAGACTGTGCGTAATCGAGGTACGCTATCAAATTTCTAGTGGATAGATCCCGGATTAAACTATTTTTGGTGCTAACTTCGTAGCAAGACTGGTGCGAAGACCTGAAACCACCAGTCCACAACCCTCAACCTACCATCCCACGGAAACGAAGTCAGTCACATCGCCTTGTACATGAAAGATCCGCCAGCGATAGCCACCCTTCGCATACAGCTGGACCAGCACCCCTGTCACCAGCTACTCCCGTGTTCAACTTAGAAACCCCACGTCCAGATAGATCCGTTGGGTTGTCGGATGAGAGTTTGGTCAATAACCTCGAGCCTAAGATGGGCCGCAGTACCGCCCGAAGCTTTCTACTTGACTTGCAAGATACCACTAGTCTTGTCAGCGATCCACACGTCACCCCCTTGGGCCTTCGTTTCCCATTTTTGATAGTCGAGGTAAAGGCAGGTTCGACTAGAGGTAACCTCTACCAAGCACAGAACCAAGCTGCGGTGGGTGGCTCAACAGCTCTCCAGATTTTGCGAAACCTTTCAGAGCTACATTCTGCTCAAAATTCGGGTTGGGATAGCCAGGGAAGTTCTCAGGCTAGTTAGGAATAGGCCATTCGAGACCTTACCCTACCTCTTATCTCATATGGTATTTTCTGTTACCACAGAAGGCCCGATTCATGAACTATGGCTTTATTTTTGAAGACCAAGCGAAGAAGACATCTACATGGTTTGCATCGGGGCCTGGAGGACAACCGTGAAAGACAACACTCTGAATCTCTTAGGCTACCTTTGGGCAGTTTTGAGGTGGGGAAATAGTGAATTTAGAGATAGCGTTGTTGATATCATCGGGGCTTTGTAGAATGAGGTCAGTAAATAAGTCAGCAGCCAATTCTCATTTGTCAAACATTTTTGATACAGCATAATGATAACATCCTCCAGCAATTCAAACACTCCATAGCAAAAGCCATTGGAAAAAATGGTAATATCTTGGTTAAGACGAGACAACTCTTTAGCGCCTAGCATACCCCCATCCACCCTAATTTTAATTTTTCCTACACCCACCATGCGCTCCTTCGGCGTCGATATCTCTGAAATTAGGGGCATCCAGTGTGAGCTATCCTCTGAGCAATGTGCTGGAATCTACAGTACTCTAGAAGCTGGGGTATTTGCTTCGAAACTCGCCGTCGAATACACTTGCCATCGTAGTACT